ATAGATAGATAGATAGATAGATAGATAGATAGATAGATAGATAGATATAGATGATAGATAGATAGGGTGATAGGCAGGCACAAAGAGATAGCAATAGAGATATATGTAACATGTGTAAATAGATATAAATATACAACAATTAATGGAAAAAGAAGCCATAAATTTGAAAGAGAATGAGGAGGTATATATGGAAATATTTAAAAGAGAGAAGGAAATAATGAAAATATATTATAATCTACAAAAGAAAAGGAAGAAGAAAAGAAAGGAAAGAAAAAGAAAAGAAAGGTGAAGATGATTTGAGTTCTGGAAAGTCACCTTCAGTGAAAAAACTAGCACAAACTCTTTCAGGTTTTTTTTTTTTTTTTTTTGGTTTTTTGAGACAGAGTTTCTCTGTGTAGTTCTGGCTGTCCTGGAACTCACTCTGTAGACCAGGCTGGCCTCGAACTCAGAAATCCACCTGCTTCTGCCTCCCATGTGCTGGGATTAAAGGCGTGCACCACCACCGCCTGGTTCTTTCAAATTTTTTATCACCATTGGCTACTGCTCTACTTGTTACACACACAATTCAAAAGGAATGTTGGTGAGTAACAGGAAAAGAGTGGTACAGCATCTTTCAGAATGCATCTTACTATGGATAGGTAAGGACTGTTACTCCCAGGATGAGTATACTTGTACCTGCTCAAAACATAGAACAATAAACGTTCAGAGTCCATCAGGGATGTTTAGATACAGCACTGTGCTCACAAAAGATGTTGTGAGAAAAGATTCAAGACTTCCTGAATGAAGAAACTAGCATAGACTCTTTCATTTTCAATATCACTATTAGCTAGGAAAGTGTGTATGTATGTGCATGTGTGTGTGCATGTGCAAGCACGTGAATATGCATGCACTGAAGTAATTTACACAGCCACAACTGAGTTGAACATCATGTATCATGATGGGTAATATCTGTTCTCGAAAAGAATGTATCTGCATCTGCCCTCATTTCACATGATGAGTAGAAAATGTTCAGAGTCCAGATGCGAATAAGCAATTCCAGTCAGAATAGGAGTGCATTATGTATCAGACAGGACACAGTAGACATAAAGTGGATTTGATATATCCCACATGGCATCCCTTGGGACCACTCTAGGCACAGAGACAATGACCAAGTATCAGACATTCTTACCTGGGACTGGAGTCTCAAGAGGGTCACTGGGCAGTGACCACAAATAGGAATTATTTTTGAAAGAGGCAAAACATCTATAGGTCCTGTTGTACTCTGGGCTCACAGGGGAGATGAGGAATTTGTTGTGGTCCTGTTGTAAGCAGTTCTGAGGAAAGGACACATTTCTATCTCTGCAGAGAATGAAGATCTCAAAGAAAGGAGGTGCGTAACAACCAAGAGTCACATTTCTTTCTGAGAATCCCTGAGGTCGTGAATCAACAGTAAGGGATGGCTTCTCCTTATAAACACCTGCAAGTGAAAAGACCCGGTGATTAGCTCCTTATGGTAGCACATGCCTCAGGAAGCAGAGGCAGGAAGATCTCTGTGAATTTAAAATCATCCTGCTCTATATAGGCACAGTTACACATGAGACTGGGACACCCTCCCTCCAAAAAAATTTACAAAAAGATCCTGTCCTTTAAAAACATAATTAAAATTGACCATAAAATGACCACTCTTGCTCTCTTCTGGTCTGGGCCCAAGCACAGAACAGATCCCAGGCAACAGGTCTGTACCCAACCTCACAAAACCCAGAGGAAGAGGGCCTCCCAGGAGCTCTAACCCAGGCAGTATCTCAGGTAACAATGAATCACCTGTGATGTCTGCTGTTAGAAGTTCTAATCCAGATGCTGGCCTCTGAAGTTATATTACTCAGACCTTCGATGGGCCATTGACAAGAACATCAAACAGCTAGAGATTGGCATCACTAATCTGAAGAAATCTCTCATTTCTCGGTCTGAAGAAACCTCCAAAAATTTCAAAGGATTTATTGGAGTTGATTTACTCTTTTACGATAGAAGAGACTGTGTACAGCTCTTGACTGTGTACATCCCTTAAAGAAGAATGTTGCCTTTACATAGACAAGACAGGGATGGATAAAGAGAGCATTGAAAAAGGTCAGAGAAGGCCCTGAGAAAAGACAGAGAGAAAGACAAAGATGAGAGCTGGTACAAGAATTGGCTCTCAGCTCTCCATGGTTGTCAACCCTACTTCCTCCCATCTTGAGACCATTAATTGGGTTATTTTTGTTTATTTCTTTTGGACCCTGAGCCTTAAATAGGCTGACTAACTTTGTGAAACAACAGATTAATAACTTGGTAGTAAAACCTATTCAGATACATTATCATGAGTTAGCTATGGAGGACCACGAGACTCAAGATGAGGTTGTTACTCTATCCAGGGTGTTCCCAAAACCTATCTCCACCCAACCTAAAAGAGGGGACTTCTGCCCCTAGACCAAACAGAGAGGGACCACCAAGAACCCCCTCTGACTGGTGACCTGAATTCTTGCTTAGGCTGTGAGGCTAAGCATTGCAAGGGAATATAAATAAAAGTTTAAAATATCTCTCTGGGTTCCCTGAGGGACAAGCCTGACTGCATAGGGGTTGATGTCAAAAGTATCCCCTCTCCAGGAAAAAGACATCGGGATGGGTATGGCCCTCATGCCTCACTGGACAATAACAGGGGGACCGGAGCCATTACAAAGTCCCCTTCAATTACTGGAGGTCAAGCCTCTATCCCTCCCTTCACAAGATTAGAATTGCCACAGCCCTTCTATACTTAGAGAAGGAAGGAGATGTCAGGGGCAGCCCTGCTTATATACTGAAGGCCTAAAATCAGCCATAGGCCTAAAATCAGCAATAGGCCTGTCATACTTGTATACTAACACCGAGTCTTGGGTCTCTGTGGAAAAACATTGAAACAGATAGCTATAAGCTATTGTAAACAGGCAGCTTTTGTGGAAATTTACCAGCCTGATCATAGATCTTGTAAATATTTAGCCTTGGCAGACAATACCAACTTAGATAAGGACAAGTGAGTCATAGGCAGAGTCATAGTGACTTGTCCCCTGAACCTTCACCCAGCCTATACCTTGTTCTGAAAGATATCTGTATTCCCCCTGAACACCCACACTCCAGTGTCATCCCCTTCCCCATGTCCTGCCTTTTTGTGTTTATAACCCCTGTGTGAATAAGTAAAAATTATGATTTGATTTAAAAAATAAATAAAAATAACCTTTTTTATAAATGCACAGTCTTATAAAACAGAAGACAATATGAAACCAAAAGTAAATCCATCAATCTATAAATATCAGGAAGCATGCTCCTATTATTTTCAATGAAACACACCATAGAAGGCTCTATGTAGCTACAGAAGCTGCTGTCATTCCCCAGGAACTCCATCACCTAGGGACCATAGTCATCATCCTGAAGGGAGCCTAGGCCACTGTCAGCAAAGAGGATCACTAACCTACACAGGGTCAGGGTGTGAATCTAAGTTTGTAGAGCTCTTGCCAAATATATGCAATGCCCTGGGTTCTATGTCCATCACCACATGAATGATGAGACTGTCCAAGGATATAATGCTGGTACTAACAGAGTAGAAGTTGAAGGATGAGAAGTTCAAGATTATGTGGGGATACACATCAAGTTGAAGACCAGAAAGATATTTGAGATCCTGTCTCAAAAAAGTAGAAAAAACTGGAAATTAAAAAGGAAAGGATAAAATAAGAGATGAGGAAAAGGGAAGAGAGAACAGGACAGGACAGAAGAGGAAAAGGAAGAGGAGAGATGGATGTACAGGAGCAGAAATGCAGGCAGGGCCTGTGACGGGCATGTGTAGTTAGTTCACTGAGGTAGGCAACAGAGATTAAGGCTGGAGAACAGTGTTCACAGCAATTACTCACCTGTCACTACCAACTCCAGTTTGTCACCAATTCCTGACCATTCAGATCCATTGAAGTATTTACAGGAGTAAATCCCAGCATTGATGTTCATCATATTCTCCAGACTGAACTCAAAAACCTCCTGGTCTCCCTGTGGGGTGTGATCATACCAGATTCCATGGTGTATAGAATTACATAGACGTACTTTGGTCACTCCTGGAGGGGTCCTACAGAAGATAGTCACAGCACTGCCTGTAGAAATAACAGTTCCTGGGACTGCCCAGATAGAAGGCTGCTGAGATGGCTCTACAGAAAGAGAGAAAAAGAAATCTAGTCATCTGATGTCAGGAGAGCCTGGTTCCCAAGGAGCTATGGAGTAGCTCCCACATCAATCATGAATCAAGAAAATGGCCACACAGATGTGCTCACAGGGCAGTGTGGTGGAAGCAATAGCTCTGTTGAAATTCCATCTTCCCAGATGACGCTAACATATGTCATGTTGAAAGAAAATTAAGCAGCAGAATTTCTGGCATGTTTAAATCGGCCTAATCATCTTTACAGTTTTCAAACAACATAAGAATTACTCTCATACCTTAGTGCTATCTACTAGATTCTTTCCTTGTCTCCTGCCAGCCCAAGAATCAATCCTGAGAATTGACATTATTATCACTAAACCTTGACACTTCCATGGGCCAGTCAACATGGGGTTCCATTAAATCACTGACATATGTCTGTCTACTTTGCCTCTTTCTTCCTTGTAAAAACCAATCATTATATACCACTCCAATCTCACACAAAACCTGGGAGTGTCTAAATATAGGTAAATCTCCTCTGTGCTACCTCCTCATTAGACAGCAGTTACATCAACTCTGTTCCATGGATGAAGTGTCTTCCAAAGAGCAAGCCTCGATAAGAGAGTCAGACAGAGCCCACATGAGAAGATATGGAAACAAAACGAAAACAAATTCAAAATTAAATGTCTATATCCTCAGAAGAAAGTGTGTGTGTGTGAATTATTTTCTGAATGTCCCTCTGAGCCAGATGGCATATGAGCATTAGCGGCCCATGGTAGAGAATTCACACCCGAAACATGGCTACAATAGTAAGGACTAAATATGAAGGAAGCAGACAGGTGGCTGCCAATGAAAACACCATCTCAGGGTCTGCTCAAGATGCCTCCTCAAACTCCTCCCATGATACTCCCAGACAAAGTCAGATTCAAGGGTTGAAACAGAGAACCGACTCACCAGAGTGTGCCCAGATCATCTGCTCCATTAAACACACTGAAACAGGAAGAAAAAAAGACCTGTTGAAAGAATCTGTCCTGTTATACACTGATCCCAACCCAGAGCTCAGATAGAAAGACCAGGACAGGATGAGCAGGCTGAGGTCAGGAATGAACCTTTTGCAGCCATCAGGACAGGTCTTCATAGAGGAAGAATTTTGTGACAACAACCCTGGTTTTAAACCTGGGAGTCTGTATTCATTACTCTCTGGCTAAGAATATTGACCCCTGTAATACTTACCAAATCCAAGAAGAACAGACCCAAGGCCCATGGCAGTGAGTCCTACAAGATCACCACATACAGGCACAGAGAACGGGCAGCACACTCTGCACAGGGGGACACACCCATGGGACAGAGCAGACTGGTGTCCACAATACCCGTCAAGGATGATGACAACAAAACAGGAAGGAGACATACTCTTGCACAAAACCTGCTTCTGACTCCTCAATTCTACACCACAGCTCTGGGCCAGGAAAGAGTTTCTCTATACACTTCCTGTTCTGGCTCTAAATTCTCAAATAGTTTATGGGTGTGGGCATACTATCCTCTGGCATTCACATATATGTGTGCACTTGTGGGTAATGTTTGAGAGAAAACAGTGGATGAAAGCAGAAAGCTTGGATCCCAAATGCCCCACAAATCTACTGGAACAGTTAGAATAGTCTAGATGGGAAATCAACAGGCATGAAAGAGGACAACTTAGAATACAGATGTGGAAAGCCAGAAAAGATGCAGAGCAATGCTTCTGTAGTGTGTGTATGGTATCATTAAATAATTCTTCTGACCAACTAACTACACAGCCAGGTCCCTACAGCTGACAATGCAAATAACAGAAACAAAAATAACTCACCTTAAAAGCAGGCGACAGTATTGGATTGATTTCTAGACCAGCACACGATTGAGACCGAATAACTGGTCATCTTTAAGAAAAATACAAGAGTCATTATAATTTCTCCTTTTGATTCTCTGTCCCACAAGGTCTAAAAACTTGAGGCAAGGGAGCTTGTTCCATCTGGGAAATAGGCAAGCAAAGGAGGGTCAGGAACATATGTCCAATAGAGCCAGACAGTCCCTCCTCCAGTCTCTGCTCCACACTTTGTCTCCACACTTGCTCCTGTGAGTATTTTGTTACTTCTTCTAAGACAGACCAAAGCATCCACACTTTGGTCTCCTTTCTTCTTGAGCTTGAGTGGTCTGTGAGTTGTATCTTAGGTATTGTGAGCTTTTGGGCTAATATCCACTTGTCAGTGAGTGCATACCGTGTGTGTTCTTTTGTGATTTGATTACCTCACTCAGAATGATATTTTCCAGTTCCACCCATTTGCCTAAGAATTTCATTAATTCATTCTTTTTAATAGCTGAGTAACACTCCCTTGTATAAATGTACCACATTTTCTCTACCCCTTCCTCTGTTGAAGGACATCTGGGTTCTTTCCAGCTTCTGGCTATTATAAATAAGGCTGCTATGAACATAGTGGAGCATATGCCATTTGTTATATGTTGAAGCATCTTTTGGGTATACTCCCAGGAGTGGTATAGCTGGAGTGGTATAGCTGGGTCCTCAGGTAATACTATGTTCAACTTTCTGAGGAACTGCCAGACTGCTTTCCATAGTGGTTGTACCAGATCACAAGCCCACCAACAATGCAGGAGTGTTCCTCTTTCTTCACATCTTGCCAGCATCTGCTGTCACCTGAGTTTTTGGTCTTAGCCATTCTGACTGATGTGAGGTGGAATCTCAGAGCTGTTTTGATTTGCATTTCCCTGATGAGTAAGGATGTTGAACACTTATTTAGGTGCTTTTCAACCATTTGAGTTTCCTTAGTTGAAAATTCTTTGTTTAGCTCTGTACTTCATTTTTTTAATCAGGTTATTTGATTGTCTAGAGTCTAATTTCTTGAGTACTTTGTATATTTTGGATATTAGCCCTCTATCAGATGTAGGATTGGTAAAGATCTTTTCTCAATCTGTTGGTTGCCATTTTGTCCTATTTACAGTGTCCTTCACTTTACAGAAGCTTTGCATTTTTATGAGGTCCTATATGTAGATTCTTGATCTTAGAGCACAAGCCATTGGTGTTCTGTTCAGGAACTTTTCCCTTGTGCCCATGTGTTCTAGGCTTTTCCCTGCCTTCTCTTCTATTAGTTTCAGTGTATTTGGTTTTATGTGGAGGTCTTTGATCCACTTGAACTTGAACTTTATACAATGAGATAAGAATGAATCAATTTGCATTCTTCTACATGCTGACCTCCAGTTAAACCAGAGTTGCTCTTTCTAACACTATGAAGAATTAAGATGGAATTGTGATGGGAATTGCATTGACTCTGTAGATTGCTTTTGGTAAGATGACCATTTTTACCATATTAATCCTGCCAATCCATGAGCATGGGAGATCATTCCGTCTTTTGAGATCTTCTTCAATTTCTTTCTTCAGAGTTCTTGTCATACAGTAGATATTTCACTTGCTTGGTTAGATTCACACCAAGGTATTTTATATTATTTATGACTACTGTGAAGGATGTTGTTTCCCTAATTTCTTTCTCATCCCTTTTATCCTTTGAGTAGAGGAACGCTACTGATTTGTTTGAGTTAATTTTATAGCCAGCCACTTTGCTGAAGTTGTTTATCAGCTGTAGGAGTTCTTTGGTAAAATTTTGGTAGTCACTCATGTGTACTATCATGTCATCAAATAGTGATAACTTGACTTCCTCCTTCCCAATTTTTATCTGTTTAATCTCTTTTTGCTGTCTAATTGCTCTGGCTAGAACTTTGAGTACTATATTGAATAGGTAGGGAGAAAGTGGGCAGCCTAGTCTAGTCCCCGATTTTAATGAGATTGCTTTGAGTTTCTCCCCATTTAGTTTGATGTTGGCTATTGGTTTGCTATATACTGCTTTTATTATATTTAGGTATGCACCTTGAATTCCTAATCTGTCCAATACTTTTAATGTGAATGGGTCTTTTATTTTGTCAAAGGCTTTTTCTGCATCTAATGAAATAATCATGTGAGCTTTTTTTTCTTTAAGTTTGTTTATATATTGGATTACATTGATGGATTACTGTATATTGAACCATCCCAGCATCCCTGGGCTGAAGCTTACTTGATCATGATGGATGATCATTTTGATATGTTCTTGGATTTCTTTTGAGAGAATTTTATTGAGTATTTTTACATCAATATTCATAAAGAAAATTGGTCTGTAGTTCTCTTTCTTTGTTGGGTCTTTTTGTAGTTTAGGTATCAGTGTAACTGTGGCTTCATAGAAAGAATTGGGCAGTGTTCCTTTTGTTTCTACTTTGTGGAATAGTTTGAAAAGTATTGATATTAGGTCCTCTTTGAAGGTCTGATAGAATTCTGTCATCTAGTCCTGGGCTCTTTTTGGTTGGGAGAAGTTTAATAACCACATCTATTTCATTTGGGGTTATGGGGCTGTTTAGATGGTTTATCTGATCTTGATTTAACTTTGGCACCTGGCATCTGTCTAGAAATTCATCCATTTCATCCAGATTGTCTGGTTTTGTTGAGTATAGACTTTTGTAAAATCTGATTTTTTTTTTAATTTTCACAGTTTCTGTTGTTGTCTCCCTTTTCATTTCTTTTTTTTAATCTGTTTTTTTTTTAAATTGGGTTACGTATTTACCTTTCATTGTTATCTCCTCTCCCATTCTCCCCCAAAACCCCTTATCCCATACCCCTCCTCCTATTTTTAATGAGGGTGTGCTCCAAACATCCTCCCAGTCCCATCTCCCTGCCTTCAAATTCCCCAACAATAGGGAATCCAAACTTTCTGAGACCATGGCCCTCCACTTCCACTGATGTCTGACAAGGCCACCCTCAATTACCTATACAGGTGGAGACATGAGTCCCTCCCTTTATGCTCTTAGGTTTAGACTTTGGGAACACTGGTTGAAACTTTTGATACTCCTTCTAGAAAGGACCAAAGCACCCACACTTTGGTCTTCCTTCTTGAGTTTCATGTGGTCTATGTGTTGTGTCTTAGGTATTGTGAGCTTTTGGGCTAATATCCACTTGTCAGTGAGTGCATACCATGTATGTTCTTTTGAGATTGGGTCACCTCACTCAGGATGATATTTTCCAGCTCCATCCATTTGCCTAAGAGTTTCATGAACTCACTGTTTTTAATAGCTGAGTAATACTCCATTGTATAAATGTATCACATTTTCTGCATCCATTCTTCTGTTAAAGGACATCTGGGTTCTTTCCAACTTCTAGGTATTACAAATAAGGCTGCTATGAACATAGTGGAGCATGTGTCCCTGTTGCATGTTGAAACATCTTTTGGGTATATGCTCAGGAGTGGTATAGCTGGGTCCTCAGGTAACACTATGTTCAATTTTCTGAGATACCACCAGACAGCTTTCCATAGTGGTTTTACCAGTTTACAATCCCACCAACAGTGGAGGAGTGTTCCTCGTTCTCCACATCCTCGCTAACATCTGCTGTCAATGGACTCAATTCCCCAATAAAAAGGCATAGGCTAACGGACTGGATATGTAAACAGGACCCAGCTTTTTGCTGCATACAGGAAATCCCTTTTCATTTCTGATTAAACAATTTGGATACTGTCTCTGTGCCCTCTGGTTAGTCTGAGTAAGTGTTTGTCTATCTTGTTGATTGCCTTAAAGAACCAGCTCCTAGTTTTGTTGATTCTTTGTATAGTTCTTTTTGTTTCCACTTGGTTGACTTCAGCCCTGATTTTGATTATTTCCTGTCTTCTACTACTCTTGAGTGTAAAAAAAGCAAATGCTTTTTTTGTTGTTGTTGTTCCAGAGCTTTCATTTGTGCTGTTAAGCTGCTAGTGTATGCTCTCTCCAGTTTCTTTTTGGAGCCACTCAGAGTGATGGGTTTTCCTCTTATCACTGCTTTCATTGTGTCCCTTAAGTTTGTATATGTTGTGCCTTCATTTTCATTGAATTCTAAAAAGTCTTTTATTTCTTTCTTTATTTCTTCCCTGACCAAGTTATTATTGAGTAGAGAGTTGTTCAGCTTCCATGTGTATGTGGGCTTTCTGATGTTTTTGCTGCTGTTGAAGACTAGCCTTAATCTATGGTAGTCTGATAGAATAAATGAGATTAATTCAATGTTCTTATATCGGTTGTGGTTTGTTTTGTGACTGAGTATATGGTCTGTTTTTGAGAAGGCACCATGAGGTGCTGAGAAGAAGGTATATTCTTTTGTTTTATGGTTAAATTTTCTGTAGATATCTGTTAAATCCATTTGGTTCATAACTTTTTTTTAGATTCACTGTGTCTCTGTTTAGTTTCTGTTTCCATGATCTGTCCATTGATGAGAGTAAGGTGTTGAAATCTCCCACTAT